GCTGCAATTTTAAAAACTTCAGTGAAAACAGAAAATGTTGAAATAAATTCATAATTGCGGATGATGAAACGAATGAGCTGCATATTCTGAAAAATATTTGGACTGAATCGTAAAATTTTTAAATTTAGGGGACTAAAATGAAATTTTTGAAATTTTTTAAGGACTAAACTGTTATTTTTTTAAGAATCAGAATATGCAGAGGTTTTGAATTTTAACAAGAAAATGAGATCCCACTTTTTATAGTTTGGTTTGAAATTTCATCTCATCTCATCTAGACCAAGTATAAAAAGTCATGCACATACATCCATAGATATGGATTTTGAATGAAATTTGCATCACTAAACTTTTGTGATTCAAAATCTTTAATTGAATTGGTCAATACTGTGACACCAAAATCAACGCAATTTGTTTTGCTCTTCTATTGGTGCTTGATAATGCTTATCAACATGCTTTATCATAAAATGGATATGACCAATCATTTTTCATATTTCTCATCTCTCTTCCACTTGTAATGATGAGATGAAATTTATAGTAAATAAGCTTTAGCACCATGATAGCTTTTCATGTTAACATATCTCTTTGAATTTTTTAATATTGTTGTTTTCACTTTCAAAGAATAACAACAATTGAACTAGTTTTGTATTAGCTCACAACTCGTATTATAGTACGATATGCTATTAAAAATCTTTATTTTGCTATTACGAGTGCAACTTGAGTTTTTATGTTGTCACTTCATGATCATAATATAGATCCATAAATTAGAGAATATTTTCTCTTACAATTCTTCATTATATGTATCTTCAAGACACATATATCAATATGAAATATTTTACTTGTCGTTTTCAAAACAACAAGAAAAGAGAGCAATTATAGAGAGGATCAAATATCTATATCTCTTCTTCTTCATAAGTAACTAGGTGTAATGTTACTTTTACTTATGTGTTCAAGACACATACGCCAAATTAAGTACTCGTTTCTTGAAAAATGAAACAATAATATTTTGTTCGGTGTCTTCTAGACACCTTTTCATTATGAAATATTTGGCTTGTGTCCTCAAGGCACCTACAATAACACAAATATTTTGTGATATCATGGGATATAAATGGATCTTTAACTTCAATATCCAACGCTCATAGTTACATTTCTTCTTGAGCTATCAAAAATAATTTCGAAGTGTGTGATATGTCTCAAATCATTGAATTACAAAGGATGTCCTTTCTAGTAGGTACATATATATATAATCGCAAAATTTGAGTTTTATTGCTTAAAGTTATGTACTCGATTTGAGCCTAAAGGCTTCATATAAATCATTATATAGTACTTGTCATGAAATAATAGTACTATAATTAACTCAAATTTTCATATATATATCATTGAACCACAAACTGAATAGTTCTTCGAGTACAATATATCATTCAAATATCAAGCTTTGAGTTTTTACCTTAAATTTATGTACTCGATTTAGGCCTCAAGCCTTTATATTTGGTACTTAATCGTAAAATAATGGTACCTTGAGTGGGAAATACCCATTAACTCAAATATTCAATTTTGAGTATCATCACTTAGACCTTGAGTCTAATATATTCAATCGAGATATCTAGTCTTCAAATTTAATCTAGGCCTCAAGCCTTCATATTTGATATGCCTCCACATAAGCTTTCAAGCCTTCATATTTAAATTAGGCTTCGAGCCTAAAATTTAGGAACTTCGAGGTCTTTTTCGATTGACGGAGCTTTTTCAGTCGCATAAATTAGAGAGCAAGTGGCTTTTCTTTTTTTTTAATATATTACTCAAATCTTCGAGTCACTTGATTGCACGTGCTCAATTTGGGCCTCAAGCCTCAATATATAATAAAAATCATTATAATATAACATTCAAACATTCGAGCCACTTGATTGCACGTGCTCGATTTGGGCCTCAATATATAATAAAATTGTTATAGTACATTGATCATGAACGAATAGTACTATAAATGGAGAATACCCTCTAACTCAAATGTTCAAGAGTCTTATTATTTAGACTTCAAGTCCAATATACTCAATCGAGATTTTTAATCTCGTATGTAATCTAGGCTTTATGCCTTTAATCGTCCATTTTGTTTTTAGAACATTATGTTCATCTCAAAAAAAATTAGCACAAGGAACAGCTCTGGCAAAGTTGAGTATTTTAAGCATATCTCTCATGATCTAAATCCGATTTCGATGATTCAAAATGTTTCGAAAAGCCAACAGAAAATGCTACAAATTTCGTATTTTGCATTTTCTGAAATTCGGACATTATCAGGTCCAAAACAGACATCGAAGTACAAACTCGTGAATTGCACGAAAAATCACCTACAACAAAAGTAAGATAGGTACTATTTTATCAATTCAAAACAACAATAAAACATTTAAAATCAACTCCCTTTCATCTTCTATGGCTAAGGAGTCATCTTCCTTGGACCATCTTTACTCGAAAATTAAAATGGAACAATCGTGCTGATAACGTGTTGAAAAACTAATAAAGAAGAACAAAGCAAAGATGAATTGAGATAGTAATATAGAGGGATACAAGTATATTATTCTCTTGTTCTTCTTGATGATGGTGAGTAATGGTGGTCATCCACACATTCTAGAATTCATAACAAATATATGAATAGTCTACCCATAATATATATAACTCTATTAACACTTAAAGTTATATTATTTCTTATAACCGGTCGGATTTGGTTTGACGGGATGATGATGTCAGTCTGATCTTGCTTAAGTCTCTCTTTAGCTTCTACCATAATCTACGTCGGCCACCGTGCCTGCAACACCGAAAGGGGTTTTTGGACATAGAAGCTCCGACGATCAAGCCATAAAGAAGAATTTAAAGTGTGTATTATGTATTTTAGTATAAAAAAATTAGAGAGTGAAAGTTATTTTTAGCAAACCCCCGATTCATTTTATGTGTCTTAAACCTAATTCCTTACTAATTTGGGTCCGCTGCATTTAGTGTAAGTTCGTTTAAAACGCAAACCCGAGGCCTCGCCATATCACCTCGTGACCCGACCTCATATAATGGGCCAACCTCGTGTCATCACATGTCGTCAGGCCCAAACGATATATGTTCTTTTAATTGGACCGAGGTTTCTGATTTTGGGCCGTCGGTCTTGGGCTTTTTATGTCCAATCCACTTTATATGTGCATCCAGAGCCTGTATTGGCGATATAGTCCTTATCAAAAACTTCATAATAAAATACATAATTCTTATTATTCACAATTTGCTACATTTATTTATTTGTATATTTTGCAAAGACAATATTCCATGTCATTCTTTATTTACAAAATTGACAACAATTTTTTTAATTTAGGAAAACAAAGGAAAAGTTGAATGTGAAGCAATAAAAGCATATGGTGAGAGAAAAGAGGAAGCATAGGTTAATGTAATGTTTGTATTATTATCCACAACAGAACCCGTGACACCCCCTTTTTCCCCTATTTTCCAAATATTCAATTATCCCATCTGACACTGCCATCTGTATTTTCCAGCCTGTTCCCTCTAAATCTTGTCCCTCCCTTTTCATATATATATTTATTTTATTTTATTTAATATTCTTCTCACTCATCACTATTTCAAAATTTTACATTCATTACTATCACCACCTCAACCAACTCTTGCATTCACATTCAATTCTATCACATAAATTTCAACTCATTGAATTATTTTCAAATTGGACTGACTACTGAGTCACGAGATTAGACGAGTCAATTGGGTGCAACCCATAGACATTAAAATAAATAAAAAATTGATATCCAGCTCGGATGTATAATTATTCCAAAAAAATAAATGAATAATAATAAAAAAAGAAAAAAAAGAAAAAAAGAAAAATCTACCAGCAATTTGTACAGCAGAGCATGTGGACCAGCGCAAAACACGTGGTCCCAATTCCCCATCTCGAGTCTCTCTCATTTTCACATGTACAGATGTATTTAGGTACAACATACGACCCATGATGTACAACCAAGCCCCTAAACCAACATATATCTCGTTCCAATTGCCACGTCAGACGCACAGCAACAACGCCAGATAAGCGAAGCAGCGTATAATAACCCCTCCAACACATCGAGCAAGTGGGCCACAACCATTTTCAACATTCCCCATAAAAAAAAAGAAAGAAAATTCCAGCTGTCTCCCGCTAAGTACTTCTGCGATACACGTCGAAAGGAGCGCCACCACTTACTCAACGTAGCTGGAGGCCATGACGTGGACGCTTCTCATTGGATGGAAACCCTTGACCTTCTGTGGGACCTACCGAGCTTTTCCTTGAGGGACACGAGAATCTGCCACGTGGCGTCGCCTTCTATTATTGGGTCGTGGTAGAGGAGGGCTTTCCTCACTTCCGGGTCCCACAGGTTTTTCTGTATTGCTGTGAGATTCGTGGCAGCCACGTGGGCGAGAATTTTGCCCAGATTGTCCACGTCGGATTCCGCCACGGTGAGTGAGATCTCCGGCCAGGGCACGGCGGAGGGGAAGGGCAACCGGATGCCATCGGCGATAATGACCGGGACGCAACCCAAGGCAACAGATTCAACCAGCCTCGGGCTCCATGGGGCCCACCCCAAAGGGCACAAACAGAACGTTGACCGGACGATCTCCGACTGGTAACCGGCGAACCTGTGCCTCCGAAGGTAAAACCTCCGATCGCTGCCGTATTTCCGCAATATCACCGTCCGCACGCGCCTGCCGGAAAACGAGAACCGAGGGTTAATAATGTAATTTTCACACCATAAAACAAC